ATCTCTAGTGTCCTACGGACCGACCCAAGACATTGGCGACGCGAACAATAGGCCACTCCGGACTCTCGGCACAATTAGAATGCCCGTAAGGCTTGGAAAATTTGTGACCGCAGCCGAGTTTATTGTATGCGAAAAACTAGCCGTTCCACTAATTCTAAGCGCGGACTACTGTGACCGGTTTGTGGAAGCAATTTATCCAAGGAAGAAAACGGTTGAGTTGGCGGATTTCTCGGAGGTCCCGACAGTTAGGCGGTTCTCGACGATAAAAGGGAAGAAGAATCTCGTCGCAGGAGAGGACGAGAATGATGGAAAGGTGGAGCGAATTTCCCCTACGGTAAAAGTGGCAAGAGCCACAACTATCGAGCCAGGGACGCAGCGCGTCGTGGAATGCACCTCGAAGAGGGCGGGCTTGGTCGTGGTTCAGCCGTACTCGTCGTTGTACGAAAGGCACGGGTTGACGTGCACGAATGGTGTCGTTCAGGTTGAGCCTGACCGGCCATTTCGTTTACTCGTTGCAAATTTTAGGACGTACCCTGTCAGGGTGCAAAAAGGCCAAGTGGTGGCAGAATTACTACCGCACCCGAGAGCCGCGCTCGAGAGCAAAACCACCATTGGTGAAGTTCTCGGAATTCAAGAAAGGAAGAAGGAAAATTTTCCTAATTCCACCAAGACGCCTACGGGCGAGGCAAGATGCGAACCGTCGGATCAAGACCGCGAGGAACAGCAAGGAGAACGGGAGGAAAGGCTCTCGGCGACGGCAACTACGACGCCGGAGCGGCGGATTGAGCCTCCCCCGCCAGACGTGGAGGAACTCGACCTGAGCCACGTGCCGGACCGGCTGCGCGAAAGATTCCGTCGAATGTTGAAAAAGTATTCCCCATGTGGGATGGGACCCTCGGTGAGATCAACACCACGGTCAACCGGATTGAACTGGCCCCGGATACAAGGCCAATTGCACAAGCTCCCTACCGAGCCGGTCCAAAGGCTCGGGAGGTCGAGGACGCAGAAGTACAGAAAATGTTAGAAGCAGGAGTCATCGAATCGGCGCAATCAGAATGGGCGTCGCCCGTTTTATTAGTGCCGAAGCCGGACGGATCGATGAGCTTTTGCGTAGACTATCGTCGGTTAAACGCGGTGACGGTAAAGGACACGTACCCTTTACCGCGCATGGATGAGTGCCTGGACTCGCTTGGTGACACCAAGGTTTTCTCCGCGTTGGACGCGATCTCGAGATATTGGCAGATGCCTATCCCTGAGCGCGACCGCGACAAGACCGCATTTTTGTGTCACTCAGGACTGTATCGCTTCTCAAGAATGCCCTTCGGGCTAACTAACGCGCCAGCGACGTTTCAGAGAGCAATGGATATCCTGCTCTCTCCGTTCCGTTGGAAGTGCTGTTTGGTGTATCTGGACGACATAATAATTTTTAGCAAGTCGTGGGAGGAGCACATCGTGCACGTGGATGAAATACTTTCTGTATTGGAGAAGGCAGGTGTGAAGCTCAAGCTTCGCAAGTGTGAATTTTTGGTCGAAAAGATCAAGTACCTGGGCCATGTCGTTCGGCCAGGCACATTGGAAGTGGACGCTGCGCAAACCGTCGCATTGGAACAAGTGAGGTACCCTCAAACGCAGACCCAGCTCAGGAGCTTTTTGGGACTTTGTAATGTCTACCGCAGATTCGTTCCGCATTATGCGAAAATCGCGCATCCGCTCAATCAACTGTTGAAGAAGGGACAACCGGTCCAGTTGGAAGGATTCGACGAACCGTGCAAGAAAGCTTTTCATAAGCTCAAGGACGTTATCTTGGCGCCACCGGTGTTGGCGCTGCCGAAGAAGAACCTACCCTACTCGGTAGATACCGATGCAAGCGACTATCAAATAGGCGCTGCACTATTTCAAACACACCCGGATGCGCAACGTAAACCTATCGGGTTCTTTTCAAGAACGTTAGCCGCAGCCAAGAGAAACTATTCTGTATCACAAAAAGAATGTCTAGCGGTAATTTGGGCCGTACAGACTTTAAGACGATATCTTTATGGCGAGCACTTCATTGTGCATACCGACCATGCCTCACTGAGGTGGTTGATGAACGTAACCGACCCCAGCGGGAGATTAATCCGATGGAGGCTCCGCCTCTCGGAATTTGATTTCGAAATCAAGTACAAAAAGGGCAAGGCGAACAGCCAAGCCGATGCCCTGTCAAGATTACGGACCGCAGGAGAAACCGTCGACGAAATCGACGACGAAATCCCATGCTTTATGGCCGAACCGGCCGAGGGAACGGTGGAGGACGAGGACAGTTTTGACGCGTTAAACGACATCCTCGCTCTTGAGGGGGGGACCGCCCCTGAGCGCCTCGATCAATTCCAAGCTGTCACTCCGGAGGAGCACATTCGCGAGCAAGCCGTCGACCCGTTCTGCAACCGCATCAAGGAAGAAATGGACGCCGGAAAGGTGAGAACGTTCAGCACGGAGACCGAGGAACTCGAAGGAACTCTATGCCGTACTGCGGCGGAGTTTGTACAAGTGGTAATACCACAATCGTTAAGGGATCGCGTCCTAGGGTTGAGCCATTACGCAAAATTGGCAGGCCACCCGGGAGGCAGGAAACTTTACAAGACTTTGAGATGATATTTTTATTGGCCTACGATGGCCCTAGAATGCTATGCAGTCGCGAAGAATTGCGCCGCATGTGCGCGGGAAAGGGTGAAGTTAAGAAGAAACACGAAGGAAGTGAAGCTGTTCACGCCCAAAGCTCGGCTGAAGTTTGTCGCCATCGACATCCTCGGCGAGCTAATTACAACTAAACGAGGAAATTGGTACATTCTCGTGATCAGCGATCGATACTCGAAACTGGTACGAACCGTACCGTTGAAGAAGATATCAGCTGCGCACATCGCACAAGCCTTCGTTCACCATTGAGTATTCGTGTACGGACCGCCGGTCAAACTGCTGTCCGACAATGGAACACAGTTCACGGCCCGGTTCTTTCAGAATGTCTGCCGAATTCTCGGCATACGCAATGTGTTCACGACTACGTACCACCCGCAAGCCAACGGACAAGTTGAGAGGTTTAACCGCACGCTGACTTCCGCGTTGCGAAAATATGTTGGAGAGCATCCCAAGGACTGGGACTTATTTAGCGACGCTGTGACGTTCGCATACAACACGCAAGTTCATCGAACTACAAACATTGCGCCCTTCGAGCTGGTGTTAGCTCGGGCGCCGAGAAGCATTGCGTTACAAGCGCAACCAACTTTGGAGAACTTTAGCTCGTCACGAGCATACTACCTGAAATGGCAGTCGTGGTTGGAGAGCCTAATGCGAGGCGCCGATAGGAGTTTGCGGAAGGAACAAGCCCGGTACAAGCGAAATTTCGACGCACGCCTTCGCAAGCCGCAATATGAGATCCCACCGGGGTCCTACGTGTTCCTCCGGAAGGAGCAGGGCACGGCTAGCGAACCAAAACACAAGCTGGCACAAGTCGCCACAAGACCTTATCAGGTTAAAAGATCGGATCAACATACGGTAGTCATTGCCATTGGCGATCAGGAGGAGCGCGTATCGCGAGACAGGGTGGAGTTAGCTCCAGCCCGATGGACTATGCGCCGATAACTGGCCTACGTCAAGCGCTACAATTCCAGGGAGACCCGGAGCTAAACGAAGAAGAAGAAGTAATGGAGGACGAGGAACGTCCTCACACCCGTGCGCCTACGTCAGGGGACCAGGACAATCTAGTTAGTCAAGCGCCGACAGCGGAGACATCTCCGGACCTGCGCGATTTCGGAAAGTCCAGAGAAGGAGATGAATTGGAAGATCTTCAGGAGGGGGAAGGAAACAGTTCAGAGAAAGGAGAGGAAACGGAAAACACGGAATACGTGATCGACAACATCGTTGACCACGGCTACGACGAGGAGAAATTAATTCTCAAAGTAAGGTGGTATGGTTATACGTCCGAGGACGCGACGTGGGAACCCATTGAGCGGTTACCCCGCAGTGCGGCCGTCACGTATTTCCGAAGGAAACGGTTGCCCCTGCCAGCGCAAGTCACGCAAGCGGTACCTGGATAGCTGTTGTCAAGAAAGAATGCAGAGGAGAGCCGGCAGAGAAGTCAGAAGTTTGAGGAAGCGATGCATGGCGCGTCGTTGAGGAATGGGGAATGTCACCATACCCCCGGAGGAGGTGTTACGCTCGACTGAATGGCAACGCGTCACCGAAGCCCACACGTGAACTTAAGATCGAGAGCAGGAGTCCGCATGGAGGAGGAGCGAAAATTATCCCAGAATTACTAGAGAAATGCCGGGAGGGGATTGTCGAATGAACAGTATGAGAAATGAGCACCAGTCCTTCCCCGAAATCCTAATCAAAATTGAGGATGGCCGCCCGAAATCGCCGGTTGCCCGCTCAGCTACTGTTGCTAGCCAGGGCTGGTTGCCCAAATATCGAAGTCAGATCGCGACCCGCGACTACAAATTGCGTATGAAGCCGAAAACGTCCGCCACCGGCGGCCCCGTCCAACCTGCTTCACGGAAAGATGACAAGGAGGAGCGAGGCGCAACGAGCGCTTACCGCGCAGGAGACGCCTTTTTTTGTAGGAACGGGAGCAGTGTGGATTTAAGACTGACCCCCGATCCCCACGCAACCCGCGTTTTATGGAGAGCCACCAAGCGGAGCAGAGAGGGCAACGAGTAGGGTTGGGAACGGGAGATAGCCGAAGGAGTCGACGTCTCGACGAGACAACACGGTTCACCCGACAGTTGCGAACGACAAGAGCCACGACGCGTTTACTGACGATCAGCGTACTTACTAGTTTACAACGTCAACCCCCCTTCTCTTCTCACCATCTCTCTCCATTGTTTCGGTTTTAGTTGGTTGTTCGTTTTTTTGTGTGCGTTTGTTTTGTTATGTTATGTTTATTTTTTCTGCCGTTGTCTAGGACACGACTTCTAGCGGCGCAAGTCGATCAGTGAGTCTGCAACGACCAGACGAAGGCTAGTGCCATGAGAAAGGAAAGAAGGAACCGATGCGGGGGCCTGGTCAAGACAAGTAAGCTACGACGAGGGAGGAGATGTGAGGTATCGCGGGTCGATTCGACCAAGAGAAGACTGTATCCGACGGGAAAGGCACAGTGTGCACGAGACGGGAAAACTGAAGGAAGAGTCTGGAGGGGGAGGAGCCCCACCCCCTTCCGCAACAGGGGATATTGTTGATTGACGGAAGGGATAATCAAAAGGGGACGCACCAGTCGCCTTGACGCCGCTCCGCAAGCCCCGATACAGAGGCTTGTTGAGCAGAAATAATTACTAACCGAGGCAAAACCGCGACAAGGACAAGCATAGTTCCACCACGACGTTAGCAACAACGCGTCGATTGCGACTAACACTGACGTCCCTGTGGTACTTCTGGCATACGCGCGACGCAGCCACCGATCCGTAGCTATGCCCTACTATGTTTTTTGTTGTATTATTATTATTTTTTGTTTGCGTTCTCTTTTGTTTCGTTCACCTTGGAGGTCCAGAGGTACCGACCGCGTCCTGTGAACGTCGATCAGCGGGTATATCGGGCATTAGAAGGAGGATACGGCCGCGGTACACGGAAGAACGTCCTCCACGGTATATGGCAAGCTCGGCTTGTCTGGGGAGCGAGAGACGTTATAGGGAGTCGGGAACAGCCATCACGATGGCCTCGGGAAACGCTGCAGTAGCGTAGAAAGGACGAGACGACGCAGACAGAGAGGGATGAGTGACGGGTCGAGCGCGTGAAGCGTTGGGTACGTAGAAAACGTACAAACGGCACACGCAAGTCTGTACCCGCCGCCACGCGAAGAGGCAAACAAGGAAAAGGGGAACACGACCGTCCCGTACGAGATGTCGAAGAAGGAGAGCGACGTTAACCGTCGACAACACCCCCAAGCCAGAGCAGAAAAAAAGGGACTTAGGCGATTTCATCTGAAAACCTCCCTCACCGGAATGCAAGAGCCGCCGCAGTCGAACCACGAAAACGAAAATTCACTGTAGTCTCAGGCTGAGGTGGGATACCTCCTGAGACACGATCACGCGCACGAGACAGGGCGCTTGGATCAGAGATCCGTCCTCGTGATGCGAAAATTAACCAAGAAAATACTTAGAGGTCGTCAGAAAAACGCTGGACGAGCGGTAACAGCCGAAAATGGACCAAGGGGGTAACCTTCGAAACTTTATTGACAAAGCTAGGGGGAAACCGTACTTGTTGGTCGCACGAAAACAGAGGAGGGCTGGCTACAGCCCATGGCACAAGTACACCAGGTCACCCGATCACACCGTCGTGAGCCATCGTGCAAGACACAATGCCGCCGTCGGCATGGCCATGTAAAATGAGTTCCGTACGTACGCCAAAGACGACCGAACCCCTGCTTAACACCCCGGATTCCTGTTCTCGCGACTCGCCTCATTGTTCGAGGCAGCTGAGAGAAAAAAGAAAAATGGAGAAGAGAGAACAGAGAAATGGTAATCCTCACGTCAATGAGGACCGATTTGCGACGTTTCATTGAGGGGGCAATCGGGAGTCTCGCGCCATCTTCCAACAAGAACGATCCGGAGCGCCAAGGAGAGGAGAGCAACTCCGGAGTAGAGAGATCGTCGATCGAGGAGCTCCTTATCAATGACCGAGCCGTGGCTCGACGCGACGGACGACGTGACGCTTACGTTCTCGTTGTTACCCCAAGCGAACTACCGAGATGACATCCTTCCTTTAATCCCACTACTGTCTCGCACCTTGACCCTCTTGCTGCTTTGCTATGTTTTTTTATTTTGCCCTAAGTTCCGGTGCATTTTTATTTTTATCTCACGCCTTGTTGTGAAGGCCTAACACCACCCCACGCTGCGACATCGACATTAAGGACGACCGACAGGATGTCAATCATGACGACACACACCCCCCGTTGGGAGGGAGATAAGCCAGGAGACCAAGACGGCTACGCACGACGCGCGGAGTTGAACAAATAATTGGAGACACGCGGAAGAAAGGATGGACGTCCATCGCACGACATGAGAAGAAGTGCGCATTCGCCGAGTGTGTGACATCGCTACTGGAAGATGAACAGTAAGAGGCGGTCGATGACTAAGGAAATCAGGAACGCATTCGTAAGCAACGTGTGTTATCACGGCATGGAGGACGCCAGGCGTAGAAATGAGGATCGGAAAACGGGACGAATGCTGTTAACTGAATGAACGCCGATCCAACAACCCTACACCGCAGCGGTAATGCAGTGCCGCGGATATGAGACAACGCACGATGATGCGGAAAACATATCACGAAAGATCTTTTCGATCACAGAGGGCTGGTCGCGACGTTCGAAAGAAGCCGAGCTGTGTGCGACGAAAGCTCAGTGAAGGGACAGCTAGCATCAGTCCCGAACCTTCCTTCGAAAGACTGAAGAACTCTGATGGCATCACTCCGATGAGAACAGATCGTCACAGACCCACATGCCCACATATGTTCCAATTCTACGAGGCGACATGAGGATTAGCACCCAGAGTACAAAGGAGATGAGACGCAGGATCGGGGCTATCGCAGGGGATACTGAACAAGGCGGGTTCATTGGACAGAGGGAACCCCTAATCACGAATTAATATATTCCTCGACGAGATAACTGGGCGAGTAAGGGAACCGCCTGACGGGAATGAAAGAGGGGAGCCTTATTAGAGGCAACAGGAGCCACAGACTCCAGCGACGAAGATAAACGCGTACTCTCTAGGGCGTGTACCTTGCGGAGACGCAGGAAAATACAAAGAGGAGGGACTGCGGGTTGAGATTTTTTTCCGGTCGGCACGTCAACCAGCACATCTCATTTCACAACTTCTCAGGTATTTCCTGCCCGGTCGATGGAGATTGAGGACAGCCGTCGGCGACAGTACGCCCGAACTGGGAAAAGAGGAGGTAAGCGAGGAATCTGAAGAGGTAAAAGAGCGCATGAAAAGAGGAGGGAAAATTGTCATGGATAAAGAGGAGGGATTGAAGAGAAGGAAATATAGGGGGATCAGGAAAGGGAAAATTGAAACGCAGAAGAGGAGGAAGTTGGTGAAAAGAGGGGTACGACCGCAGTGACGGTACGCAGGGAACAAGAAAAGAAAAGAGAAAAAGAGGAGGAAGTAGTGAGGTGAAGAGAAGGAGGAAGGAGGTATAAGGGTGCCACCGTGATTATGACGGGGTGGGCATCAATGAGAAAAAGAGGAGGAAACGAAGGGACGAAGGAGCACGCAGGAAAATTCAATTTAGGGATCAAAGGCGACATGACGAGGTCGCAAATTCAACGTCACGCAGGCAGGATAGAGATGCGACAAGCTAGCACGAGGGAAGTGTCGCGCCCGTCAGCTCAGACGGGAGGGTTGCCAAAGAATTTGCCCTTTGGAAGTGATGACACGAGGCGAGCTAAAACTCGCAGGTCGTCAATCGAGGCTCCTTGCAGAGCCTCTCCCTCAATACCGTGAGCACGGAGCAAGGCACAGTATACGCTCGTGACGTCGTGGGTATTTTTGGAAATTGTTGGGGCCGGGGGGGAGATATCACTTCCCTCACCGATAATGTTTCAGTGTGGCCTGCCGAGGGAATTTCGACAGCTGGAGGCGCCTTTGACGAGGATGGAGAGGCCAGGGCTGCGCGCGGGGAAGCAGGGACAGCCGATCGAGGAGGAATTGGAGAGGAAGGACGGGAGCATACTTGAAGCTCCCGGGGGTCAGATGTGACGATGGGGGTGACGTCGGGAACCGGTGTTTGGTTTCCGAATCGACGGCTCGTTTGAGCTTCCCACGCTGAGCAGAGGGTCGATGACCCGGGGTTGAACCACACGAAGTCGCCCGCGGCTGGGTGGTTTCGACCAGGGGAGAAAGAGGGACGTTGGCGATTGAAGGATCGAGAGGAGTTTTGCGGAGGGACACAGTCCCAATCCACGCCCTCGATAGTATCAAGGAGGGAGCGTATTTCGCGATTGCCATCAGAGCCACCCAGAGGGACAGAGAAGTCCAATAGACGCATTTGTGCTATCAGCTTTGCGGGGAGGTGCCATAGGCGCCAGCAATCATAGGTCTCCCACAAGAGGGTCGCAGCTACTTTGACGCACCACTCTGTGAGGAAGACCACCCATAACCCGTGTTGCGGATCTCGCAGGTAGCTGCCATAGTACGTGAGTATGGGTCCCATTTCGGCCCAAAAGCCTTGAATCACCTCGTACTGGCTCCACCATGAGAGGATGCGCTGGTAACGACTTGCATAATGCCGACGGGAAATCTCGCGCGCCTCTACCATTTGGTAGCCGATGAAGTACCCCGTATCAGACCGAATACGCCGTTCAAAACGCACTGTGTTCTGAAAGAAGAAAATACCCCCGCGTTTTAAATGACGGAAATTCGAAGGGATAATGGGTTCGGTCCAGAAGATGGCATCGGATGTGACAGTATGTTGGTTTCGCCACAGGCGATCCGCCTCGGCGGCAGGGTCACCAAAGGTGATATCAATGAGATTGTCCAAGTAGAGGCGTTCGCCCTCTGTACGACAACGCCAGGTGTCGCAACCGTATGTCGAGGGTATGAGGGTGTCGGAAATGGGGATGGCAAGCCGAGCGAATATGGCCTCCATAAATCGCATGGAGAGAGTGGAACGGCCCCGTGGGGGAGGATGACGTAGGATGGAAGTCGGAACTGCTATACGGGTTCGCCAGTCAAAGGAGCGGATGGCAAGCACCGGGAGATTACCGGGAAGCATGCCCGCGTCGTCAGCGAATTGGTGTTCGATTTTGGAAACGTCGCCAATACCCACGGAGGAGAACCACTGGGCCGAGGCAAATAAGGAAAGATGTTCGTGCATGATTTTGTCCTGTAGCTCTTCGAGCGAGGGGTAGTGGCGGGCTACCCAAGAGGGATGATAACCTGGATGAAAGGCCGGGTCGGAGACGTCCGAATCAGGAGGACGTCGGGGTATAGGAGGGAGGTCGACGGAAGCGCGAGACTTGTTTGCGAAGCCGACACCGGTGCGTCGACGGGCAGTGTTTTCGCCCGCGAGCTCAGGAGGTGGAGAACACGTGGGATTCGTCTTGTCCTTGCTCATGCGGGGACAGTCAGTCAGGAATGGAAAAGTGGGGGGGTCGAGAAGAGAAGAAGGAGTTGGAGATCAAGGAGTGTAGCCGATGTGCAAGAACGCTCAGAAGGGGGATATGTAGTGCAATACGCACCTGGAAAGGGGGGTGAAAAGAAAGGAAAATATTTGGATATGAAAAGTAGTCCGGGTTTGGGGGATGCACGTGTGAATAATTGCACAGTTTTAATTTTTAATTATTTTATTTTATTTAGTTAATTAGTTGGCATTAATTTTGCTGACACTAGATTAGATCTAGAATCTAGCGCCGCGAGCTACTGTACTGGCTCCGGCGGGGCGATATATACCTTAGCCCTCTGACGACCAAGTCAGTAAAGGTAACCAGAGTTGCCAGAGTCTGATATCGCCTTGGTTGAAGTCCGTCTTTTATAAGACATTCCCTTTAACTACAGATTACTTTATCCTTTGCGCTCGGGGGTCCCGTTTTTTCCTTATCAATTTTCCTTTACTTCCCTATCCTAATTTCCCTTAATCTTGAGTTGGTCCCACCTTGTAGGATTGCAATCCGCAACGTGACGTCATTTGCCATCGGGCTTCTGTGTTGGTGCACCAGTGGTGCTTTTCTCAGTGTTGGCTCCATCGGAATCTGGTTGCGACCGATCCGTTTTTGGTACTTTGCCATCGGGCAGTACGACGGTGTAGCGCTGCTACGTTTTCTTCTTTCCCGACGGGCTACGTTGCGACGTCCCCGTCGAAGACCTTATCAAGGGTATAAGGTGTACAAGGCGCTCTTCGAGTATCGGATTTACGACCCATCGGACCAGGTTTACCTAACATCCCTCCGAACTCGTCGAGCAGTTGCCTTTACAAGTCTCTACCACCATTTACCGATCCCGGGCTGGGCCCTTCTCTTTGCCCCCCCTATCCGGGATCCGAGCTACTGCGGGCCGCAAACCCGCTTAAAGAGGACAGGGAGCTTCGAACACTCCGTAGCGCTGTACTGTTGGCAGTTGTTGTTGTTGTTGCTGTTGTTTGTGTTGGACCGTCGGACCTTGGTCTCTGCCTGACAGGCGCATTGCACTACAATAGTCTTCAACATCCGGTATTAGACCCAGGGCGATGGCTGACTGGAGACATTCGGGGTCAATTCAAAACTTGAGATTTGCCGGACGGATTTCTTCCGTCGCGATGGACCTAGCAGCGGTGAGTTGCTCCGCGCGGGCCGTGACTTCGTTACTGTACTGGTCATACAGGCGAAGGAAAATACGAATCGACTCCACATCCGTACGGAGGAGACGTAGGTGGTTGGCTGAAGGCGCCACAAACGACGGACCTTGCCTCGAAATCGCTGGTGAGCTTTTCTAGGCGTTCGAAATTGCGTATTTCATACCGTGCGGTTAGTCGGGATCTGAAAGGGTGTGGGATCAGTACGTGATCGAAGTTCGAACGTGAAGTGCTCACCGTGACGAATTGCGGTACCAGGCTGGGATGCTTGTCTTTCTTTACTCCGTCAGTCTCCATTTTTAACAACCGGAGGAGCGACGTCGTTGCACGGCACCGTGGAAGTCTAAGCTACTGCAATAGAACACATTCCAAAAATGCCCTTACAGTTCATCCAAAGTGTGCGCGCACACTTTGGATACTGTAACCGTGCGGAGAGCCTTTCTGTTGAATAATGCGGCGCAGAGCTGGCCACACAGATTCATGGTATTGTGACTTCGAGCGTTAAAAACATCTCGAGAAGATGTCTCGTGCTGGGACCTTAAAGGAGGTGAAGGGCGGCATGTCGGGGATTTATTAAATGCAGAGAAGGGATAAGTCAAAGTTATGGTGAGCAAGCCAAGCTTTAATCATGCGAACAGCGCGCAGACTCCTTGCTATTCACTCTTTGCAGACTATGTGTCCTTCGCGAGAGGTCTAAAGAAGTTAATAGTTCTCTTCATTCTTTCTTCCATGGAAACCTCTGGTGTATATCCAAAGTATTTCTTGGCTTTCTCGCAAGATATGTTTCGGTATGATGTGAGCAAAAAACATGAAAACGGCAGTGGTTTCTGGGGCTTGTAAATTGGAGAGAGAAGGAATTGTATGACTTCAAGCAAGACCGCAAATGAAGAAACATACCGCAGATGGAATCTTTGATTCAGGAACTGGATGGCCTAACCCATCCAGGGTGCTCCGCATTGTTCCCAGAACAGCGTCGTTTCATCGTTCGTAATGAATTATGCTTGCCCTGCAACGGGACTACGCATAGTGAGATGTTCTGCAGCTTTCATGTATGCATCAGCTACGTTGCCGACATACGTGAACTCCCATATTGTCTTTCCATTCCCGATGATTTATTTTGGTCTTCACTCCTCGCCCTGCTTCGAAGAGCCTTGGAACTAAAGCAGGATCACGTTCCCTAAAGATTTCACTGGCTCTAATAGCACAAGTTCTAAGAGATTCGCGATTAGCAGCTGAAACAAGCTTCTCGGCGTCTGCTTTTGTCTTAACAGTTAAAATCCATAAACTTGCTCCGGTACGGCTTTGTTTCTGATGGCCCTGGGGCGGCGCGCAGCGGTATAGCGGTCCCGCAGGGGCGGTCAAGGTAAAATGAGTCAGGCTCCTCATCGCTCCTCTCTCTCGGCAAGTCGATGGGCATGGTGATGCCCCGCCCTGTTTCCAGGGAGGGCATTCTTTTTAATCGGCCCCCAGACCTCCTCGCTTTTCGCTTCGGGATATTGCCGTCTCCTGATCCCCGCGTGTCTCGAGAAATAATTCGCTCGCCAGTATCGCCCGCTGTCTCCTGTCAATATGCTACAGTACGTTGACCTCTCTAAACATCTGCACCTTCGTTGCAGGCACAACAGCCCCCACAGACAACCATGATGATGCAGTGTTGTTTGGTTTGTGGTTAGTAGTGTTTAGCGGTCCTCTTCTTACGCAACGTGCCTTTGTCCCTTAGATCGTCAAGGAAGTCGTTGAGCATAGCCGGCGCGTCCTTCCGCATAATTGCGAGGTTTTCCCACGCAGGATCTTCGTCTTCGAAACCGCCCCACGCTACCAGTACTTATGGTTCTCCTACTTGGATCCTTATGTCAAGTAATTTCTCGACGACACAGTACTCCCCGTCTTAGAAAGCTAGCTGCTCGAGTAACTCGGTCGTAACCTCCAGGTCCTTGTTGCGGAAAAACTTGAAGCGCATTCTATGAGTATTAGACTTCTTCGCCGAGCGCAGGTCTTCCACCTCGTACAAGAAGTCGGAGAACACCTTGGTTACGCGGAACGAGCCGCGCCAACAAAAGGAAATCATTCGTCTCTGCGTCTTTTCGCTGAAGCTGCGGAGTACGAAGTCGCCGAGGTCGAAGTTGAATTTGCGTACATGAGTGCGACGGCTATGGCGATTGATCTGGGACTCCCGAGTCTTAGTCACTCGCTCCTGCACATCGCGGTGCATCGAGTCCAGAGCCCCCAAAAGGCTTTCGAGCTTCATAACTTGCTTAGCACGCACCTCGTCGATGTCCATCATCTTGACCTGTCCGTTGTCGTTGACCTCGACTGCTCGTAGTGGCGAGTCCGCTGGCAGCCCGGTAAATGCCGACAAAGGGCATCTACCTGGCAGACGCGCGAGCGGAGTGTTATTGAAGATGGAATGGACCAGGGGAAGGACTGAGGGCTACATTCTGAAGTGGATTTGGAACTCCGACGTGAGCCCCCGCAAAACCCACAGTAGCTCTCTGCATACCATCTCTACCGTGCCGTTAGACCACGGGCAGTACAACAGTGTGAAATGGTGCACCATTCCCATGGGATCTCCTCTCTCTCATTCCTGCGACAAACTCGTTCTTGAAATGAGATCCCCTATCCGAGACCCACTGCATTACGACCCCAAAGGAGGAGAACCACTCCATAAGCGCACCAACGGTTGTGGCGTCGTCTGCGGCCTCGAATGGGAAGAGCTACAAGAACGAACTGAAGTCGTCCTTGAGTATCAGAACGTACAGGAAGAGATTGTCACTCTTTCCTATGTAGCACTAATCCAAATGTAGGATCTTTTTCGGGGCGTCAGAGTGAAGGCTGTGCCCCATTGGTCGGGGCATGCTCCTATCTCTGGCCGTGCATAGGCAATGCAGGCAGGACTTGACGAACGTCTCTACATCCTTAGCCATTGATTCACTGTGGAAGTGTTCCCGGAGAGCTCCCGTGGTTGGACGTATCCTTATGTGTCCCCCATTGCCCTGTATGCGTTGCTATCAGGAGTCGCAGGCGTAGGAGGCCGCTGTCGGCTCGGACCCAGAAACCACCAGCCTTGTATCGGATAATGCCATTTTCGCCTTGGAACCCTGCGGCGGCTACTCTTTCGTTTCCCTCCGTGCCTTATAGAAGTCGCTGCTGGTCGACCAATCGTATTTGGTCTTGGTCTCCGTGGTGATGGGAGCATAGAATAGAGTTACAAGCTTGATGCACTTGACTATAATCCCGGGCTTGACAGCCCATCGCGTGAGAAGGTCCGCCCATACATGGCGCTCCCCTGGGAGGTGTTCGATGACATAAAGACACGCGCTGAGTTTTAGTGCCCAGCGCATGAGCTTATTCGCGGTGTGTCTGCTCATCCCGGGGTTCCGTCCGTACGGGTCGAAAATGTAGACAAGGTTAGCGTGATATGTGTACAGGGAGACCTCGCCTGATGCTGTGAAGTGATCGAGCCTTGTCATTGACTCCAATTCCGTGAAGGACTCCTTCTCCACGATACTCCAGTTTGCGGACGCTCTTGTAGAGGATCCGGGAAGATTCTTTCCGGATCCTTCAGCCACTCACGTTTCTGAAACGCGAGTGGTTGATGATCTTGCTCCTACACGTCCATATCCGTTTGCTCCTGGGATACCTGTGTGAGCACAGATTCCCAGTGTGTCTCGGACGCGTCTGTGAACAGAAAAAGCCTATGATCAAGGTTTGGATGTCCAGGCTTGATTGACTGAACTATATGATATTGGACCTGGTTAAAGGCAGAGTCCTGTGTATTCCCCCATTGTACAGACAGTGAGATGTTCTCCACTGCTCGTTTGGTACGCATTTTGGCCATACTGTAGCATGGTTCTATCAGCCTGTGTAAGGGTGAAATGGTGCTGGAGTATTGTGGTATACTTTTCCTCATCCAGTTTGTTGGGCAGAGGAACTGCTGGAGATCCGAGGCGAACTCCGGCTTACGCATGTTCAGGAGTGTGTGAAGATCTCGCGGGTTGTATTGTATGCCACTTGCGTCGATGATTCGGCCGCAGAAGTTGGCTTCCTTCTGGAAAAGCTTGCACTTTTTCACGTGCCGCTTCAGGCCGTACTTGCAGCACTGTCTGAGACACTTCAGAGTTGAATGCTGTAGCTCCTTTTCGTCCTGCGCGGGCATGAGGAAATCGTGAAGCCACTGGATGATCCTGTCAATACATTCGCCAAGAATCGAAGAGGTGACGCTCTGAGAATGATTCCGGCATCCGTTTGTCTTTGGAGTAATTGCTGCAAGGACAAACAAACGCCAGGAACCAGTTCGCTTAGGCGAACTGGAGTCTAGACTCCAAGCGGAGTCTGAAGGGACAAGCTCTCCTGAGAGTCTTTGCGCAGGGGTGTCTGCCAGTATGTGGCGCACATGTCCAGCTGCGCGAAACAGGTGCTTTCGGCTGTGCTATGTATCATGTGCTCAAGGTTCGGCATAGAGAATACGATCGGAATGGTTTCGCGGTTGGGTACTCGGAGGTCTACAGTAAAACGAAACTTGCCCGAGCCGGGTTTGGGGACGGCTAGGGCTCAGCTTGCCCACCGCGCCTGAGGGTTGGGTTGCGCTTGGTAGCACCAACGGAGTTCAGCTACCTTATTGCAGCAGCGATGAACGCGTGTTGCTTAGTCGGGTACTTCCGTTGCTTTGCACGGACCGGCCAGTGGTTCTACTTTAGCTTGATCATCATAGGCTCGACCTTTTGCTGGGGGGTCCGCGTCCAGGTTAATACATAAAATTTCTCTGGGCTCCTGCAGCATGGATTCCATTTGCTTCAGTCCCAGCGTGGAAATTCCATTACCATTCGCCACTTCTACCATTACCCCAATTGCCTCCTGTATGTCGTTCCGGTTCACGGCGCGGAAGTTAGCGCCCACAGAGTCAGGTAGGTCAATTGGGTCTTCTTCGGCCTGTTCGTACCACAGCTTTGTACATGGAGCAGATGCGGCTGCCTTGCTCTGTTACCCCGTACCGTGGTACTCATCTCCAGCTTGAGTTATGAGGTCGCTTATTTCGGCGTCGTTATTCTTTTGACGTGCCGTCTCCAGGTGCGTCTCCCGGTTGGAACCCAGGCACTTGAGGAGCGGGCGGCCCAGCAGGACCTCGTCCATATCTGGGCCGATGACGAGAAACTCTACCTTACGCAAGCGAAGCAGCCCAGAGGGTGGCACACGGTGACGTTAAAAGATGCTCTAGGGGACGCAGTAATAGACCCTGGTTTCAGGTCGACTGCTGGGAACAGTTGGATTGGTTCGTCAAACTGCACTAGCTTCACGGCCGTTCCTGTCTCCAAAATAATCTTTGTCACCTTCAGAAGGAGAGCTGACTCGTCTGCTCCGTAGTCGCCAAGCGCAATGACGTCCAATGTGTCGTCGATCATTGCCTTCCACTTGTCGTCACCCCATGGGCTGTGCTGGATCGAGGCGGCCTTCAGTTTCTTCCTTGCATCGAAATTTTCCTTAAGGAGCCTTCGCTTGTCTTCGTCTGTTATGTCCTCGCAGTACATCACACAATGAGTCTTCTCACAGCGCGGGTTCAGGCATTTCTGCGTCCACTCGGCCGACTTGCGCTTCTTCGACTTCCTGGGCGGCGCTTGGTTGTTGCTGTGAGAGCCCGGCGGATTTTCTCCCCTTTTGTCATCTGGTTTAATGGGGTTGTATTCCCGTTCCCTTGATTTGCGGTCCCTCCTTGGGCGCCTGTCGGATCCAAGGTACTCTTCGTTGCCTGGCAGACCGCGGTTCTCGACGTAGGTGGCGACCTCCGCGTAGGTGGTCCTGACCAGATCCATGAAGAATTGGAAATTCTTCTTGTCTTCTACCTTCCAGAACTACATGCTTGACTTGAGCTTGTCCCTAAGCATACGCAGTTTCAGCTTTTGCAGCACCTGCCGAACGAGAGCCTTGGCACAGTAAGTGTTTACGTGCTGTACGCGGTTTCTGTGTAACTCCTTCACTGTGTCAGTGAAGAACTGGAGCACAGAACCCGCCTAGATCTGCCTTGCTCTGCTTGAACTTGACGCGTGTCAATGCGTGGGCCACTTGGCTATCGACAGCTCTATCTGACACTCGCGCTCGGGACTCAATCTATTCCATGATTTGCCCATCCGTCAATGCATCTACATTTGTGGTTTCGGGGATGGTCTTACACATCACCTAGGACACGAGAAGCTCTGGGTCGGTACATGACTTCATACCGGCCAAGGGAATGCGGTCCGAACGAGAGTGCGAGCGGTTTAGATCTTCCACTTTTTCATGACATAGGGCGCATACTTTACCTTGAAACTCAATGTTTCCTCCCTCATGTCTCCCTTGAGTAACGGCGCGGTGATCGTAGAAATCGCCGCCCCGGTCGTGCCTCCACTCGCGCAGATGAACGCACAGTGTTGTTCCCGAGCGCCGCTCCAGGATGCTCTTCGAAGAACAAAGCGCGTTGATGGTTATGGTGGGGCGCGTAGTGGTGCAGTGGTCCCTCACGGGCGGTCAAGGTAAAATTAGTCAATCTCCTCGTCTCTCCTCTCTCTCGGCAAGTCGATGGGTATGGTGATGCCCCTGCCCTGTTTCTAGGGCGAGGCATGTTTTTAATCGGCCCCCAGATCTCTGCGCCTTTCGCTTCGGGATCTTCCTATCTCCTGCTCCCCGCGTGTCTCGACAAGTAATTCGCCCACCAGTATCGCTTGCTGCCTCCTGTCAATATGCTACAGTACGTTGACCTTGCTAAGCACCTGCACCTGCCTTGCAGATGCAACAGTTTCCTCAACATCAACCATATGACTGCCATCGAAGAAAACGAATGCTGATGATACGTACGCCAATCGTTGGACAACAGACTGTTTGCAAGCTTCAATGTCTCTCTTGGTACCCTCCACAATGACGACCAACATCAATGCCTCGTTTCAATTATCTAGCGGGTCTGCAGATACGCAGTGGTAAACGACATCTAAGTGACGACGAGTGCTTTACTTCGTATCGGCGACTTCGGCCGAAGCCTCTCTCTTTTCCCGGACAGTGAGAGTACTGCAGGTCTTCAAAAAAGGTCGTATATCGCATGCCGATTCCAGTTTCATGGGAGCCGCATTTGCGTCTCGCATCCGCGGTATGTAGTCATCGATCGGGTGCTCTCTCTGTACTGCCTTTCCAAATCTATGGCAGCCTACGCTAGTGCGAACAATTCGTTACTCCTAATTGCGGGTTCCCACGAAGTCTAAGTGGTGCTCCCCCTGCACGATGCTGCGGTGACTGCCGCCCACTTGGCAGCTGTAAGAAACGATCAAGTCTTGCTTTTCGCGGCAGCCGCAGATGGAAAGATAGCTGTGGCTGGTATACGTGAACATAATGTGATCGATGTCACGAAGTTGGTGGCCCGTGAGGGGCAGCCTTGCGCTGCAATCCATGCGTGCGATGTCGACGGCATGGCCGTCATCACAGCATGAATAGACGGTGAGTTGCGTTTATGGCGCCAAGGTGCGGATTTCGGGTCATGGAAAGTAGTCGCGAAAGCAGATATGGCCTTACCCGGTGTGGTTCTCTTACAGTGCGTGGCTTTGTAGCGCTTTGCAGGGAAACAGCCGTACTAGCTGTATGAGGAACGATTCGACGCGTTTGGACTTTTTCGCCTTGCTAGGCGAAGATCCTTGTCTACGGAAGGCAGCATTTCGCGATGGGCATCGTGATTGGATCAGGGGACTCGCATGCTCTGCAACTACAGAAGAGGTTGCTTTCTGACTTGCTAGCGCGTCGAAGGAGAAGGACGACACTGCCCGAAGTTGGCAACTGCAACGATTTGGAGAAAAAGAACTTGACACTTTTGACGTACATACAGCGAGGGTTGAGGCGCTGCTCTCCGACGAAAAGTGTTCGTTTACTGCGGAGTGTCTCCTGGACGAGCACACCACTGCAGTTCATTCTGTGGGGGTTTGGGGACTGTCGAACACTTCAAAGTTGCTCACTTCTTCTATCGATTGCTGTATAGCGCTTTGGAGCTTAGAAGGCGGACGCTGGGAAAGTTTAGTACGTTTTGGACTTCTAGGTGGAAGCTCTGCTCATGCCTTAGGATTCTTCGGAGCGTCCTTTGTCACTGCGAAGTGCCATGAGGTCCTTGGACATAATTTTGCTAGTGCTTTTCACTGCCGGCGGTCAAAGTCACTTAAAGATAGCAACGTCGAGTGCCTTGCCAAGTCAGAACCCAATGGGAACTTTGGTATGGTTACGGGTCTAGCTTGGGAACCACAAGGAAGGTACCTCCTCAACTGCAGTGAAGATATGACAATACGGATTTTCGCAGATGTGGAAGAGGACGGATGCAATCGTTTCGTTGAATGGGCGAGACCGCAAGTTCATGGACATGCCTTTGTTGCCCTGAAATTATGAGATAAGGAGGGTTGAAAATACGTGTCGGGTGCCGAAGAAAGCATGTTGAGAATGTTTGAAGCCCCAAGTGGCTTTCGCCTACCGG